TAAATTGATAAATTTTTTGACAAAAATTTAAAAAACAAACAATACAAGCAAACATATAGAAGTAAACTCTCCTCCCAAAATATCTAATCCAGAGATAACATCCTTGTTCACATTTTGGCCAACATCCTTTCCTCTAAGCACATCTACACATACTCAGTATATATATCATTACCTGTTCTACAAATCACAATATAAATGGCCACAACTCTTAGTTCTTCTACTATTTTCTCATGTCCATATATACCACATTAGGAAGAATGCCCTGAGTGCTGCACAGCCACCAGAGTGTCTAAGAATCTCAAAGACTTTCTCGTTCTAGAGGGCATACGTTTTATTATCAATGCTAGGACTCTTGGGAATGAGAAAATGTTATTAATCCAATTTGTGCTGTTTATTTCTTTGACATGAGAAACCACTATTAAAGACTAGGGCCTAAGGCTGAGTGCAGTGGTTCACACCTGTAATCCAGCACTTTGGGAGGCCAAGGCAGGAGGATCACTTGAGCTCAGGAGTTTGAGACCAGCCTGGGCAATATAGTGAGATCTTGTCTCTACAAAAAATTAGCCAGGCATGGTGACACATGCCTATGGTCCCAGCTACTTAGGAGGCTGACACAGGAGAAATGCTTAAGCCTGGGAGGTTGAGGCTGCACTGAGCCGTGATCACACCACTGCATTCCAAGCTGAGCAACAGACTGAGATCCTGTCTCAAAAACAAAAAAACAAAACAAAAAAATGAGAGATTGGGCCTGCACAGTTCACCAGCTGTGATTCCTGTGTTGCAGTGGCAGTCACTGGTCACCAATCCTCACCTGCCCTGCTGTGTTTCTCAGCTTGGGCTACAAAGTTGGAGTTCTCCCTTCCCCAGTCAACATTCTGCCAAGGATGATAATTGTGCCAGGGTGTCTGCATCTGAAGACAGTGACTAGTGATAAGAGAAAATATTCATGAATAGGGAGAGCCACTTGCTAAGTGCAAACCAGCCTGCCTCTGAGCATCCTCAGGTGCTTCTGTTGAGTCCAAGTTACCAACCTGCTCTCCAGGTAATTTTATTTAGGCCTCTGTATTAGAGTGCTTGGGCTGCCATAACAAAACAGCCCAGTGGCTTCAACAACAGAAATTTATTTCATCACAATTCTTGGGACTAGAAGTCCAAGATCATCAATGTTCCAGCTGTAAGGAGAAAGCATATCTTTCTTTCCCATCACTAGGTACATGACTGAGGCTCCAATAACAAAGGACAGATTAACAAGAGAAAAACAGACAAATTTAATGAACGTAAGTTTTACGCGACATGGGAGCCTTTAGAAATGAAGACTCAAAGAAACAGAGAAGCTTGTGTATTTTTATGCTTAGGTTTGATGATGAGGAGACAGCCATGCAGATGTATAATTGGACAAAGGGATCATCTAATGGTCATAAACTGGGGCAAAGTTTTGGGGACTGTTTGTTCAGATTATTTGTGTCTTTGTGGCTTAAGAAATAAGGGCCTACCATTCCTCCAGGTATAGGGAAGGTACTTCTCAAATGAAAGCCTTGTGACCCGCTTCAGCAGAGAAGGATGAGGGAAAGGTGAGAGCAACCTTCTTGCTTCTGCTGTTTTCTCAAATGCCAAGGTACCATATTTTGAAGTAGCATGACCCGAACCCCTTCTCAGCTGATTTGGTTTCTGGTGAGAGCTCTCTTCCTGGCTTGCAGGAACCTGCCTTCTCACTATGTCCTCACATGGTCTTTCTGTGGGGAATACACCTGGAGAGAGAGAGGGCTCTCCAGTGTCTCTTCTATAAGGACACTAATCTTAGATCAGGGCCCCACACTTATGACTTCATTTAACCAAATTTTTTTTTTTTTTTTTCTTGAGACAGAGTTTCACTCTTGTTGCCCAGGCTGGAGTGCAAGGGCATGATCTTGGCTCACCGCAACCTCCGCCTCCCGGGTTCAAGTGATTCTCCTGTCTCAGCCTCCCAAGTATCTGGGATTACAGGCATACGCCACCACGCCTGGCTAATTTTGTATTTTTAGTAGAGACGGGGTTTCTCCATGTTGGTCAGGCTGGTCTCAAACTCCCGACCTCAGGTGATCCGCCCACCTCGGCCTCCCAAAGTGCTGGGATTACAGGTGTGAGCCACCACACGCAGCCATAACCTTGATTATTAATACTTCCTTACTCCAAATACAGCCACGCTGGAGATTAGGACTTCTATATGTGAATTTCGGGGAGACACACACATTCAGTGCATAACAGGTTCTCACTGTGCTGCCCACTAATTCTATGCCCAGCACTTTCCCCTATTGTATTATCACATTAACTGTATGGCTACTACTTATTTACATATGTATGTCTTTCTTTCTAGATTTAAAAAAGACTTCTGTAAAGCAGACAGTATACATCGTTTCTCTCTGTCTAGTGGTGTGCTGGAGTCAGCACATAACCTGCTTATGAGAGCCAGTCGTTAGTTTCAGAAATGTTGTGAGCTGTTTGTTAAAATAGCCATGATTTAAAATTAAATTATATAAGTGTGCAATTAAATAAATTACATTTAAAATAATGCTAACAAATACTCAGTACTCATCAGCTCCTCATTACTACATTTTGTTGTTATCTGTGCTGGAAGTTATTTACATTGATTGTATCTGGTTGGTGGAAATGGTGTGCTACTGTGCATCTCTTCCCAACTTTGCTTCAATGATGTCACGTTAGTAGCTTGAAATTAGTCATGGTAGGAGTGTTAGCACTATGAAAATCCATAAGCACTGCAAATCAGCTCCTCTTCCTCAGAGCTAGTTATTTAGTTTTTACCAGAATACTACTCACAGTCTATATCCCCAGCAGCCGCGTGACAGGATGCCCAGTAAATGCAGGCTGACTGGCTGGATGAATGGATGGATGATAGAAAAGGATAACAGAAAGAGAGCAGTACAGTTTAGGAGACAGGAATAACAGTTGGCAGAGGATGTTGACTAGGTGGGGCATTTACTATTCTGCCCTTTACCTTGCAGCCTGCCCAGCCAACAACCTCAGTTGTTCTATTTCCTTCTTTTGTGGGTTTCTCATGTTGTGTTCTTACACATTGTGCAAAAGAGTGCAATATAGTACAGAAAACATGGGGTCATCCTATGTTGCTTCATCGCATTTCAAAAGTATAAGTTTTACATTCTGGTTCATTCCACTGGAGACAGTGGTGTGGCAATGTCCACTACAGAATACAGGAAGCCCCACGTTTACCATTCACTACATATTTACGACTACTGTGGATCCAGCGGAAGGTAAGCAGGGTGGGGTCCTGTTGTGGCAAGGTAGTCTTTACCACAAGTTCCGTTCTCATATGCCCTCATCCCAGTGTGTAGAAAGAAAGGGGAACTAAATATTGCTGCCAAAGCTGATTATTCTGTGAATTAGGGACCAGTGAAAAATCCTACCCAGAAAATGCCAGAAGCAAGGTCTGGATTTCTTTTTCTCACCAAACCTTTATAAACTCCGCCCCCACCAACCATGACATTTCCCTTGTACCAGTTTTTAATGTTCCTATGAAGTGTCTTACACAGTTTTCTTTTAGCGCAAGAAAACAGGAGAGAAAATAGGAAAAAGAACTAGAGTAGCAGAAGCCTGAGGCAAAGGAACTGGAAAGAAAGTGGTGGAGAAACATTTATTGTTATAAACACAGTTGCTTCGGAATTCTCTTGAAGCTGCTTTCAAAGGGATCCTTTTATGGAAGTCTTATCTTTGTCAATAAAACTTGAAGACGCCCTATTCCATTAGTTGGCAGACAACACCATGTAAAGACAGCGATTCGACTGCAAAACTCGTGGATGAGCTGATTAATTTACGTGAGAAAATGTCTATTTGCCCCTCTCTTACCAAAGCCTGGGGGCTGCAACACTTAGAAGACAACACAAGATCCCCCGAGCATAAAAACCATAATCAGTCTCTATGTGATGGTGATTCCTCTGCGTAATATTGGGAGGTAGAACAAAGGTCACTGTAGGGCAAAGGAGTGTTCCAATCACCCTGACACCTGTGATCTGGTGACCACTCACTACTCTCAGGTGTCATTCTACCACTTCCATGTTGATATGAACTTCTAAAGTCTCTGATCGCTCTTGCCTAGAGAACTACTGGAAATCAATAAAGTTATTCATTTTAAAAATGTTGGCCGGGCGCAATGGCTCATGCCTGTAATCCCAGCACTTTGGGAGGCCGAGGTGGGCGGATCACGAGGTCAGGAGATGGAGACCACCCTGGCTAACACGGTGAAACCCCATCTCTACTAAAAATACAAAAAATTAGCCGGGCGAGGTGGTGGGCGCCTGTAGTCCCAGCTACTCGGGAGGCTGAGGCAGGAGAATGGTGCGAACCTGGGAGGCGGAGCTTGCATTGAGCCGAAATCGCACCACTGCACTCCAGCCCGGGCTACGAGCAAGACTGTCTCAAAAAAAAAAAAAAAAAAAAAAATTATGGGACATTGATTCCCATCAGGCCTCATGCAAATGTCTTGATTGACCTTTGTCTTCCGGGATGTCACAGTCTAGCAGGGCATGCTGTCTTCAAAACTGACACACAAGACCTAGATCCTGTGGCTGCAAGTCTAATGCCTGGACTGTGTTCTATGGGACTGCAGAGGTCAACACAGAAAATAAAAGATTTGAGAAATCAGCACTAACGCAGCAAACCCTATGCACCCAACACCATCCACCTCGCCTGTTAGATAACTGCACCTTAGGGCTTGTTGAAATGAATATATTTTCCTTTTGTTTAGATGGAACAGTTCAGTCATCCCTGTAAGAACTTTCTGGCATGGGTTTCCACAGGTTTGACTCACTGGCTCTTCGAAAGTGTTTTGACTTGCTCTGGTGACCCTGCCATGTTTCATGTCCCCTACTGCCCATTTGTCTAGATTCTTTGTCCTTAATCTCTACATCAGTAAAGTGAGGAAAGACACACTGAACTGCCTTTTACTTCGTGGGGAAAATAGAAGGATAAGCCACACATACTCCCAAGTGTCTTAGGGAAAATGTGCCTTTATTGACATTAATGTTGTCATCATAAGCTAAGCCATGAGATTCCAGGATTGTGCAAGAGTGAATGCAGAACCCACATTTTTCCCAGGATGAAGAAAAGATTGTTGAATAGGAGGGAGTGAGGGAGGAAGAAAAGAGAAAGAATCTTCCATTTAAGATAAGCATTGCCAACTTTCTGCCTTCACAGAGTAATCTGGCCCAAACAAGTACTTGACAGGATTATTATTATCAGATAACAATATATTTTTATAATATATTATCTGATAATAATTATTATCAGATAATACCTATAATCAGCAATACCTTATTACTTTTGCATAAAGTTTTAATTAGATACCATCCAATGAAAGAAACACTACTAGGTGCTCTTCCAGGAACACTGGATACTCAGCACCCTGGTTCATAGTAGCACCAGGTATTTTTACTGCCCTGTAAATAGCAACAACTGAACTACGTGGATGCAACAGGCAGCTGGTTGCATTTGCAATGTTTTTGACATTAGGTCATCTCTAGGATAAGCAGTGAATATAGTGAGAGAGGAGCCACCCCTTCCCCGCTCTGCTTCCTCCACCTCACTCACTCACAATACTTAACAACTCTCCTATTTGGTACTTTGTTAAAACTTTGGATGAAATCTCGTAAGAAAATAATTCACCCAGAATTCTAACATTTCTCCAGGGTCTGCCCTTTCCAGGGGGTGGGCTGTGGCACCCAGGGGCTTTCCCTGAGGGACAAGGAGCTAGGCCCTGGTGAACTCTTGCTAACCAGCTTTGGATCTCTGAGGGGCTGCTTCTTCGCCTCAGGGTGGCTAGTGAGCCCTTCGCCCCATCGCCACCACCGATTTCCATATTAGAAGATGGGAATCTAATATTTATACTGTTTTTGGCACTTGCCAAGTCCCCCCTGGAAAAAGCACACTGGCATACCTTTATTTACTCCTGCCCGTTTTCTCCAAGGTTGCTTAGAGCCCCCAGAAAGTTGGCCCAACCTACCTATTTCACAAAACCTGACCCTAAAGTCCTGGAAAGCCCTGATACCCTTCATATGCGTAGACGGGGAGCAATCTAATGACTCTACTGCTGACTTTGCAAGGATTCGGGTTTATAACCGTTGGTAAGGTGAGAAGTCTCTAAAATCTGCTGTAAAAACACCTCTTAAAGGCTTCAACCTCGTGATACTTTCATGAGGTTTGAGTTCTGGGTTTTGCTTCTTGTTTTTTATAGAGCTAGCGGCTTTCTGCTCCCCTCCCTCTTCAAACTATGGTGCTTCTATCTTCTTGCTTTCTCCTCCTCTGGCCCCGCGTGTTCTTTGGTCTACACCCTTGTTTGTAAGTCTTGGTTCACTGCCTCCGGTGCTGTTTGTGGTCTCAGAGAGGATGGGTGGCGCTTTTCAAATTGTTGTCACACCAGACATGGTTCTAAGAAAAGTGGGGGGAGAAAAAGGTATTATTTTGAAGAGTTGAGGAGAGCATGACATGGATGTACAGAGATGAAATGAGCCCTGGATTGTTTTTGACACCTCTCTGCTGAAGAGAAGTCAGGGAACAGGGACAAGAGGGAGAAGGATGGAGAGAGCAGGAAAAGGGGCCGAGGTCAGCACCAGCACCTCAGAAGCTTGACCAATTGGTCATAACAAAGTTTCCCTGTGGTCAACCTGAACTGACATTTAAAAGGCAAAAAAATGTTTGAAATAGCAGAGTGGCTGGGCGTGGTGGCTCGCGCCTGTAATCTCCGCACTTTGGGAGGCCGAGGTGGGTGGATCACCTGAGGTCCAGAGTTTGAGACCAGCCTGACCAACATGTAGAAATCCCGTCTCTACTAAAAATACAAAATTAGCTGGATGTGGTGGCTCATGCCGGTAATCCCAGCTACTCGGAAGGCTGAGGCAGGAGAATCTCTTGAACCTAGGAGGCGGAGGTTGCGGTAAGCCAAGATTGTGCCATTGTACTCCAGCCTGGGCAACAAGAGCAAAATTCTATCTCAAAAAAAAGAAAAAGAAAGAAATAGCAGAGTGATTAATAACTAACAACTCCCATGAGCAATCATCTGAGACAGACAGAGCAGTGAAGGAGAGGAATCTGGGCTCATCATCTTAATGCTCAGAGGTTCTCTTCATAGTCGGCTATTCTGGGGATTGCATCTGTTTTGAGGCCCAATGAGGGGATAGTTCATGAGTGCAGGAAGTCTTCGGATGAGATTAATATACAGATGGGGATCTCTATTGGGAGAACTGTTCGGTTATCAACATCGACGAGTCAAAGTTCTCCTGGCTTTAAGCCTGCTGTTGGGACTATGTAAGAATTGAAGCCTAATTCTTCACAGTCTCTATATTCATTGCTTCAATATCATTGGTGGCCAATTGCTTTGACAGTGAGGGAAGGGTTGTTAACCTCATCTGTTATGTACAGAACATGTAAGGATAGGAGGGCAATTAACATTAAGATAATGGCAGGTAAAATAGTTCAGACAGTCTCAATTTCTTGGGTATCTTTGATGCTAGTATGAGTTAATTTTGTTGTGAGTGTTAGGAAAATAATGTATAGGACCAGGGAACTAATTAGGAAAATAATTGTAAGAGCGTGGTCATGGAAAGTGAGTTCTTCTATAATAGGGGATATAGTATTTGAAGGCCTAATTGAACTAGATGAGCCATCAAGACATGCGAGATTTAACTTATAAATTATGTAACTTATAAATTTAACTTATAAATTAAAAGTTGAGGCAATACCTCATTTTTTTTCTTTTTTCTTTCTTTCCTTCTCTTCCTTCACTGCTGCTTTCCTTCCCCTTCCCCTACTCCTTTCCTTCCCCTCCCCTTCCCCCTACTTTTTCCCTTCTCCTCCCCCTCCTTCTTTATTTGAAAGAGAAGAAAAGGTAGAGCCCCTTTTTGAAGATCAAGGCTGCTGATTAAACTGTAACGAATCAGAGGAGAATTGCACCATCTTCTTTCTCCACCAGTCCCAGGTCAGGAAAACATGGCACTTTTCTCCCTCCTGAGCAGGACTATTCCATAATTCGGTCCACAGGACACATTTTCTTTTCTTTTATTTGGGGTTTTGTTTTCACTGTTCCATTCTTTATTGTAATTTATTAATACATTTCAGACATTAAAGTAGGAAGGTGCATTCAGGGTTGAGCCTGCCAGTACAGAAAAGAGGAATGGTGATTTTTTACTCTATAATTCTTCATTTCCTCCATCCAAATTGACCCAAATGCATGTAGTTCTTCCTGGATGCCTGACAGAGCAGAGTTGGAGCTCATCTAAGGTGAGCCCAAAACCCGAGACGGAGAGTTTAGGTGTGTTTCAGCCTTATTTGGGCCTACGTCTGTCCTGTAGCATTGATAGGCACCCAGAGCCGAATTTGTGGGAGGGAAGGCTGAAGTTTTAAATCAACGAGTGTCTCTGGATATCCTCCCACGGAATCTTTAAAAAAAAAAACAGACACAATCTGGAAGTATTTTCCTTCCAAAAGAAGAATATTCTGCTCCTCCTTCATGTTTTCTCTTTCTTCCTCCTTTTTTCATTCTTCTTTCTTTCCGTCACATAGACTTCAAAAGATCTCTTTCTCCAAATTGTTTCTCTGTCTTCTGTATAGTCAGAGGTCACTGAAACACATATACTGAAGAGAAGCCACACCAGGAAGAATTTTCAAAAACACTTGGCCAAAATCAACTTAACAAGTCCTGAATTCGAAAACCTTGTTTTATTCTTTCTTTGAGGACAAGAAATTCAGAGGCCAAAAAGAAACAGGTCAGGAGAGACTGGGTCACAGCCCACAAAGCTAGTATGTGCAAAGGGATGGCACTGCGAGGCCTACTTCCTGCAGGGAAGTAGCCTCCTGAGTAGCTGGGATTACAGGATAAAAGGTTTCCAATGTGTGAGGGTATGTACTTTTTCAGAATCTACTTTGGGCTTTAAAAATGAGATGGTTGGCTCACACCTGTAATCCCAGCACTTTGGGAGGCTGAGGCAGGTGGATGGCCTGAGGTCAAGAGTTTGAGACCAGCCTGGCCAACATGGTGAAACCTTGTGTCTACTAAAAATATAAAAGTTAACCAGGCGTGGTGGTGGGCACCTGTAATCCCAGCTACTTGGGAGGCTGAGGCAGGAGAATTGCTTGAACCCAGGGCTGGAGTGCAGTGAGCTGAGATTATGCCACTGCACTCCAGCCCAGCCTGGGCAACAGAGTGAGACTCTGTCTCAAAAAAAAAATTAATTAAAAATAAATAAATAAATAAATATCATCTTCTAGCATGAAATCAAAATTTTATTAGAAATGTATCTCTTCGCTGGGCACGGTGGCTCACGCCTGTAATCCCAGCACTTTGGGAGGCCGAGACGGGTGGATCACGAGGTCAGGAGATCGAGACCATCCTGGCTAACACGGTGAAACCTCGTCTCTACTAAAAATGCAAAAAAAATTTAGCTGGGCGTGGCGGTGGGCGCCTGTAGTCCCAGCTACTCAGGAGGCTGAGGCAGGAGAATGGTGTGAACCCGGGAGGCGGAGCTTGCAGTGAGCCGAGATCGCGCCACTGCACTCCAGCCTGGGTGACACAGCAAGACTCCGTTTCAAAAAAAAACAAAAAACAAAAACAAAACAAAACAAAAGAAATGTATCTCTTAATGAGATGAATAAGGTTGACTTTCTTTCAATGAGTTCATTTATCCATGGATGAATATTACTTTTGCTACAGTGAGACAGGAGTTTGTAAAAATAATCTTATATTTTATTTATATAGGTGTAAGCACTAATAAGCCAAGTTCACATAAGAAAGTTAATGAGAATAAAAGAATTTTTTTATAGAGGTATCACTGAATTATTTGTGTTAAATTGATATTTTTCTAGTTTATAATTTTAATTTTTCTATTGGTTCTTTTACTATACTTTTTATTTATTTTCTTAGTGATTGCCTTGGGGATTACAATTAACACCTTAATTTATAGCAATCTAGTTTAAATTAATACCACCTTAATTTCAAGAGAATATAAAAACCTTTATCCTCCATCGCTCCACTCATTTCCCTCTTCTTTGTGCTGTTATTGTCATACAAATTACACCTTTATATATTATATGCCCATCAACACAAATGTATAATTGTTGTTTTATGCAGTTGTCTTTTAAATCAGATGAGGGAAAAGATTTACAAACAAGAAATACCTTTGTACTGTCTTTTATGTTTACTTATGCAGTTACTTCTACCAGTGCTCTCTATTTTTTCTTATGGCTTTAAGTTACTGTCCAGTGTCTTTTATGTCAACCTAAAGGACTGTCTTTAGCATTTCTTACAAGGCAAATCACTAGTAATACACTTCCTCAGCTTTTGTATATCTGGAAATGTATTTATTTCTCCTTCATTCTCGAAGGATAGTTTTACTGGGTATATAATTCTTAGTTGAGTTTTTTGTTTTTGTTTGTTTTTGTTTTTTACTTTCAAGACTTAATATATGCTGTCCACTTTCTTCTGCCTTCTATGGTTTCTTTCATTTTTAAAATTGATATATGGTAATTGTATATATTTTGGGGGTACATGTGATATTTTGATACATGTGTGGAATGTATACAAATCAGAGTAACTGGGGTATCCATCACTTCAAACATGTATCTTTTCTTTGTGCTGGGAACATTACAATTATTCTTTTCTAGCTATTTTAAAATATATAATAAATTACTGTCAACTATAATTTCCCTACTGTACTGTCAAACACTAGAACATATTCCTTCTATATAACTATTTTTGTGCCCATTAACCAACTTTTTTTCATCCCTTTGCCCTCTATTGCTTCTAATGAGAAATCACTTTTTAGTCTTATTGAAGATCCCTTGTATGTGGTGAGTTACTTTTGTTTGGATGAGATTCTCTTTGTTTTTGACTTTCCACTGTTTGATTATGATGTGTCTAGTTGTGAATTTCTTTGAGTTTATCCTACTTGAAATTCACTGAGATTCTTAGATTTATAGATTAATCTTGTTCATCAAATCTGGGAAGTTTGCAGCCAACATCTTCTGGGCTTCTTTAGGGAATTCATATTGTTTATTTTTCCTGTATATAGACCATACTTTCCGGCTTCTTTGCATGTTTCATAATTTTTTGCTAGAAACTGGACATTTAAAATTATATGGAAACTCTGGAAATCAGATTCTCCCTACTCCCCCAAGGTTTTTGTTGCTGTTCTTGTTTTTTGTTTAGTGACTTTTCTGAGATAGTTCTGTAAAGCCTATTTTGTTTGTCATGTGTGTCCACTGAAATCCCTGCTTGATTAGCTTAGTGGTACACTAATGATTGAACAGAAATTTCTTTAGATACCTGGGACCAATAAATCTTGCAATCTTTGCCAAGGGGTTCTATATGCATACTAGGACACACTTTCAATGCTCAGTTAAGAACTTTACAACTCTGCCTTAGCCTTTACTTCCTGCTTCTGCAGAGCCTTAAGGTTAGCCAGTGGTCAGACCTCAGGGCCTTGCCAAGTATTTTCTGAGCATATACAGAGCTGTGGTTATGCACATAGCCCTATATAGGCTTAGCCTTCTAGATTCCCAGGAATCTGTGGGAGCTTTTCTAAATCTCCTATGGGCATCTTATTCCCAAGCTTTTTCTTTTAAGCTTTTTGGTTAGCCTATTATTTGCCCCCAACTCTTATCCACTGCCTCAGGCAGCTGCAGTATTGACTATTTGCCTGTGATTATTTTCAACAAACACCCCAAGGAAAAGACTGTTCACACTTGGCAACTCTAAATCAGGTTAAATAAAAACAGCCTTCTGAGTGAGGTCATCCAGAGAACCACCAGACAGGTCAAATAGTGACAATTTTGGGGGAATGGGACTTTGAAGAAGGTTTATCTCCATTCTGCAACCATTCCAATAGCTGCCAGGCTGTTGATTTTCACTGTGATTGCAGGCTGCTGATTTTCAAGGCTACCACAGAGATAAGGTGAAGTGTGTGGAAGTAGGTAAGTTAAAATGCCATAAAACTCATTGTTCTATTGAAATTCAGCCATTTTTCTTAAATAAATGTTCCCTGGATTGCTGTCAGCATTTGGTTAATTTCCAACCTTCTGAAAAAGTCGATACTGACCATTTTCCCAGTTTCTTATTGCTTTTATGGAGGAAAGTCTTTTTAAAGATCTTTATGTCACCATTTTCTCAAATATCCAATCTAACTCTTTTAATATTTTGTCAATCATATGTCAAATATCATGTAATAAATTATTATTTAAAAATATGTTTATTGATCTCATAGTATTAACTCGGTAAGAGTGGTTTCAGTTCCTTGAAAACAAATAACTAGAAAGTTTGTGATTTACCAAAGGATCAAGTACTAGTCATTAAATAAAATTCATTTTTTCAGTAACAATATTTTATATTGTCTCTTATTTTGCCACCCAGTGACTTATGTGCTATCAAGCAATCTTTCATCATAAGATTTAAGGTGCACGAAATGCATGCCTTTCTTTAAAAGTTGAGAAAGTTATACCTTCTCATCTGGCCTTCTTTGGCTGTCTTGGGTCTGGGGTCACATTCTGGGAGGGAGAATGGTAATTCTCCTTAAACTCTCCCCACATCTCTCACAGACATGGAAGACTGTTTCTACCTTCTTAAAGTTTACTTTCCTGTGTATCTTTTCTCCACCCCTTCTGTCACTTTCTGTAGCTCCCACACCAAGAAATTTGTCTTGAGGTTAAAAAAAGGGGAGGAGAGGCAGACTGTACAGTGATCGCTGAAAATGCTTTTAAAGTCAATGGTAGAACCATAGAAAAGGATTCCCATCTCAATTAATGTTGCCAAACCCTGAGAGGCAAATTTTATTATCAGTAGCAGTTACAGGATTTCTTTATTGGAGAGGCTTTGTGATTACATTCTGGTTGAGACAGAGGGTAAGGTCAGGGACTAGGGACTGGGTCTTGAAGTTGTGTTTGCATTGATAACACAATGTGCTAATGTAGATTATATTTTAATTAGGGGCAACTTAGTGGGAAAGGGCTGAACTATCACTTAACTAAGTAATTGATTATTATTATTCCATTTTACCAATTCAAAGTGAAATTATTAACTCTAGTCAAAGAGCTAGATAGTAACAAAGCCAAGATTGTAACTCAGCCCTGTCAAATCCCAGAACCAGTGCCTTTATATGCTTTTCTTTTTTTTTTTTTTTTCTGTTTCTAGTTGCAAGCTAACCACTCCCAGCAATCATACCCTTAACCCACAGTTATGACCTTACCAACCATACCCAATGTGAGTCTTGCCATAGAACTCTTGTTTACTGGGTTCTTATCCTTCTTTCGTAAGTGGAAGGAATGGATTCCTTCAGTGGGCAATTACCCTCATTTATATTTAGTGCCATTGAAGGAAACTGTCCTGGACTTTGGTCAGGCTTCCCCAGCACCTTCCGTAAGTGACTCTAAGTGTGGCTCCTGCAGCCTAATGATGCGCCTGAAACTGGGGGAGGCAGGCAGGAAGACTTCCAAAGGCTCTGGGAGGGTTTTCCCCATGAGACAACCCTCATGAGATTGTACCCATGAGATTGGTACCTCCTCTGTGCAACATGAAAATAGGAATACTATTAAAAAGCATGTTCCAGCCAGGTGCAGTGGCTCATGCCTGTAATCCCAGCACTTTGGGAGGCCGAGGCGGGCAGATCACTTGAGGTCAGTAGTTCAAAACCTGCCTGACCAACATAGTGAAACCCCGTCTCTATTAAAAGTACAAAAACAATTAGCTGGGCATGGTGGCACATACCTGTAGTCCCAGCTACTCTACTCAGGAGACTGAGACAGGAGAACCACTTGAACCCAGGAGGTGGAGGTTGCAGTGAGCCAAGGTCGAGCCCCTGCACACCAGCCTGAGCGACAGAGCCAGACTCTGTTTCAAAAAAAAAAAAATCATGTTCCTTTTGTCCCAGCTCTTTAGACGTGGCATTTTACAGTTAAACAAATTTTTAGGTGCATCTTTACTGGCAAAATTACCCAAAGATAAGATTATTTCTGACTCTGTGGTTTTTTTCACCTTTTTCTTTCCTGATTCCTACCACTCCTCACAGTTTCAATTCCTCTCTCCTACTTTGTTCTCCTTTCTGTTTCGAACATTTTGCTCCTAATTGCTTCAGATTTTTCTCCCTGTTCGGAAGTTTGTATATATGAAAATTAAGTATTTTAAAACACTTTCTGAAGGAAGTGGGAAATTCTCCAGAAGCACAGAGAGAAGATTGTGAGGCTCTTCCGTTGGAATAAAAGCCCACGTTGGATGATGAAATTTTTCCACTAGCATGTCTTCCTCCTGTACATGCTTCACAGATGGTATTTTTTTAAAAAACAGCAAACTATGCAGAAATATTTTAAATTAATAAATAAATCATTGATTATTGTAGCCTCAATTCTCATAACTCAATAATACTATATTGATTTTCATGTGTTCAACACAACACGTGCCTTGTCACTTATATATTTACTTAAATATTTCACACTGTACCTGAAATATAGTAGGTATTCATTATTATTCTCCAAATGAATGAACACATGAATGAGTGAGTAAAGTTCCACAAAGCAAGGACCAGACCTTTCATATCACTGTAATTCATAGACCTAGTAGGCATAAAGTGGGCACCAACTGTTTGGAGTATAAAAGCTTTGCTGTGTTCCTGTGTTTATGATCTCGATGAAATTCTTTTGTTAAATTTAGCACAGGTTGTCACAAATCAGCATTTAATCAAAGTGGTTGCCTTATTATGGTTCATCTATACTTTTGTTCTCTTCCCCACATCCAATTATTGGAGCTGTTAGCCTCAATCACTGAAAAGCAAGATTCTTTCATTGTCGTTCCAGACTTACTCCTCATTTCTTAGTGAAAACTACTCTCTGTGACCTACATCTCCCTTAACTAAGCACTGAATTTCCCTATCTTTAGTCTTTCTTTTCTAATATAGATTTGAAGGGGATCAGAATGTGTCCCCCAAAATATGCTACTTCAGCATAAGTACTATTTTGACCTATTTTTGAGAAAGAATCTTCTGCCCTTCTCCTTTCTGCTTTAAGTGCTATAAATTTCCACTTGTAAAGGTGTTTCATTCCCCATCTTGGGTGACTAAGTCTCATGGTCCTCTTCTTGATATAGGAGATGAGTCTGCATAACAATCCTTAGCTATCATACATTCCTAGTTACCTTCCCACAATTCACCACTCTTAGGAGCCCATTCCCCTACTCTGCCTCCTTTGTCTAGTCACTTCTTCACAGTTTATTGCCCTTTGTTAAAATTGTATATAAACTCAGCATTCTTTTAGACTTCACATAGATAAGAGATAGTATAACCTGGTGTTTAAGAGTTTGCACTCTGGGATCAAATCTCAGTACCTCTACCACTTACCAAATGTATGACCTCAGGAGGATCACTTCACCTCTTGCGTCTTAAACTAAAATGGAGATAATAAATATATATATATCTTAGGGTTGATATAGGAATTAAGTGAATCAAGGCACTTAGAACTGTTGCTGGCACTCTGTAAGTGTTAGCAATTATTTACATTTTTTTTATTTGCTCATTTTGTACACTCATAACAATATAATCATACTACTTATAATTTTCTGAGACTTTTCAAAGTCAATATTATGTTCTTGAAACTCATCCATATTGATGCATACATCTGTAATTTATTAGTTTTTCTTTATAGTTAACACATCATGCATGTATGTCATATCTCTCTAAGGTAATTGTAAACTTTGGAGAGCAAGAACCATGTTTTCTATACTCTGTGCTTTCAAGAAGTTCATGGTGGCATTTGTGATTTGTTCTTTGAGATGGTTAGCTGTGTTTTTGAGATATCTAAATTGGAGAAGAGGAGACTGAGGGAAACTTCCTAAGGGTTATTGAGGTTTTATATGGAGCATGGTGACTTCTCATTCTCTATCCCCATTGAGGCTTCAATTAGGTAAATATCCTAAGCTTCCCTGTGAGAGATTTAGGTGTATAATTGTAACTGGGTATTTACTGTGTACCATGTGCTGTGTCAGCTCCTTTACATAATTTACCCCACTTAATCCTCAAAACAAACCAAATGAGAAAGTATATTAGTTTTCTAGGACTGCTGTAACGAACTACCACAAACTGGGTGGCTTAAGCAACAGAAACTTACTGCATCACAGTTGTGGAGGCTAGAAGTCCAAGGTCAAGGCGTTGGCAGGATGGGTTCTTCTGAGGGAGGTGAGGGAGAATCTCTTGTAGACCTCTCCCCTAGCTCTTGGTGGTTTACTGGCAATCTTTGTTGTTCCTTGGCTTGTGGATCTCTGCCTTCATCTTCACATGCTGTCATATGTCTTTGTCTACCTCTCTCCTTTTTAAGAGGAAATAAGTCATATTGGATTAAGGACCTATCCTCCTCCAACATGATATGAGTTTATCTTAACTAATTATATCTTCAATGGCCCTATTTCTAAATAAGGTCACATTCTGAGGTACTGAGGGTTAGGACTTCAACATATGAATTCAATAGGGGTGACACAATTCCACCCACTTAAAATAATAAAATAGGCCTAGAGAGATTATGCTAACTTTTTGAAGTGGAATGGCTGAGAGCCCCCAGGTTCACATGGTAACCAGGTGGTTCTGAGGTAGGAGGTGAGGGAGGTAGTGCCGGTCCCCAAGAGCCACGGGGATGCTGCAGTGACCCAGACTGTGTGCAGTCACTCCCATAAAGTTATCCAGACAAGAGGTAACACAGTGAGCTCTGGAGTTAGTCAAATCTGCCACTCACTGACTGCCTGATCTTAGGAAAGTTTTTCAAGCTCTCAGAGCCCCCATTGCTTCATCTGTAAAATGGGATAATAGCACCAACCTCATGAAGTTGTGGAGATTAAAGGACATGGGACAGTAGTTGAGAAATGTAGTGATTATCAAAATGGACACCCATCCTCTTATCCCAGCCACACAAAAGAGAGCTCTAGTCCACATCCAAATTTCCTATACCTCGGCCCATTTTAATTAATTTAATTTATGTAACTAAGTGCAACCCTTGGCCAGAAACATCATTCAAGTGGGGTGGTAGAAGGGTCAGAAAGGGGAGATGCAAAGGAGAGCTAGAGAAAAGGATAACTACAGCTCTCTGCCTCTCAGTGTGTCTCAAGGTGGGCATTATTGATATTTGGAAGGGGACAGTTCTTCCTGTAGAGCCACTGTTCCATGCATTACAGTAAGGTTGACATCCCTGGGCCCCTGAGTGCTAAGACATTAAATACCAGTAATAACTCCCAGTCATTGTGCCACCCAAAACACCCCAGACATTTCCAAGCTCTCCTCTAAGAATGGTTGCAGCCCTGATTGACAACAATTGGTGATCCCAGCAGGACCCAAGCTGTACATTGTCTTTGGGAACTGCTGCAGCCACCAATGCAGGGATGAACTGACTGTTGCTGCTCAATTAACCCTCAGTGTCTGATTCCTGAATTCCTCTGGGCAGATCCCTTCTCACTGCTGGATTTCTCCAACCCTGTTGTCCATAGTCTCTTCTGGGAGAAAATGGTGCAATTTCAAGGTTGCAGTTACAGGAGGAGGGGACAGTTTCTCTAAGGTAACACTGGGAGTATCTTCAAAATCATGCAGTAAATAAAGTGCCAAAAATAAACACCTTGGGCCAACAGCTCCTCACTGTCATCTCCATTTGCATTTTCTAAGCTTCTGGCCACCTAAGAGATCTTACAACACAATGGAGTGGTCTGGGAAACCCCAAAATGAAGTCTCAGTATTACTCAGAGAGATGTGTATTTGTTTGTGCAGCCATACAGAATTTGGCACACGTTGGGTAGCTCGATATAGTGACGCCAGCCAATGGTGCTCACGTAGAAGCTCAGTGATTACTCATCCCTTTGGGAGGACTGCTTTTTGAGTTACATGCTTTTTGAGTTACATTTTCTTCTTTCTCCTTTAGTGATACGGTCTGAAGTATCAAACTGAGTAAATATCGTGAAATGTAAGATGTTTGACCAAAACTAGTTATTTATTCATTGACTATAGATTTAATTGAGCCACAGAAAGCCTAGATATGGTTCAATTTGGTTTAAATGCTGTAAAGTTTCCAATCCTTAAATGCAAGAGGTTTGAAAAAAAAAAAAAAAAGGAAAGAAAAATGCAACTATTACTGAGCAAAATAAAAGCTCTGTCCTCTAAATGCCTGTTTTGGTTTAACATAGTGGCTTGCTTTACTTTCAGATAAATTGTCATTGAAGCAAAACCAAGATATGAGAAATGTGAACTCCCTCTTTCAACACAACCCATTGTGTTCAAATTCATAAGCAAGAAAGTTAAGCGCCCACCTTCCTCTTTAAGGAAATATAAAAGTTGTTGCTTTGAAATAGAATTCACTGCATTCAGACTTTGAGTGATAACTGTATTCACATCCAACCGGATCTGCAGCCCCCTTTCAAAAATTTCTTTCTCCTCAGTGGTGAGAATTACCCCCACCTGGGATTCACTCTTCAAAAGGCTCAAGAAGCCTATTCATATGAATGAAACCGCTTTCTTCAGGGCAGATGCGGAAGCTGCCCTCCAGAGGGCTTGGGCAACCCGAGGAAAGGAAATCACCTCCGTTGGCAGTGTGGCTGCTGAGACTGCCGGGGGCTGCTGCCTGCTGCCTCTCGTGCCTGTCCTCTCCAAGATGCAGTTTTTTGATGCTGAGGAGCTCCTGGTCGATGAAGAGGATGATGTTTTTGGTGAAGGTAAATGCATCTTTCTGGCAGGAGCCTCTCTGGCCTGCTTTGCTTTGTTTTGACACTACTGGACGCTTTTGCCCAGCTTGAGCAAGGACTTGAGTATTTTGAAATGATAAAAACGAAGCATTCTGAGTGAGATAGTAGCTGCAGATATCAACTTAGGCACTGAAGGAATACACAAGGCAAGGAGTGGGACAAGGGGTTGAGTCATTCCTGCAAATACATTTTTTAAAGACATTACTAAAATAAAGGTTTAGTTTAGGCTGGAAAATATTACTAAATTTTTTGCCTTGTCTCTCTTCTGTTCTATCTCTTGTCTAACACCTTAAGGAAAGCCTGTCACAGTGGTTTAAGCATAGCAGGGCTGCTAAGGTAGACGTTGAACAAATGGACCAGGAGTGGTTTTCCATGGTACCATGTTGCTTTGATTTGCACTTCTCTCTCCCTTTCTTCCTTCCTTCCTTCCTTCCTTCCTTCCTTCCTTCCTTCCTTCCTTCCTTCCTTCCTTCCTTTCTTTCTTTCTTTCTTTCTTTCTTTCTTTCTTTCTTTCTTTTTTCTCTCTCTCTCTCTCTTTCTCTCTCTCTCTCTCTCGGTCCTTCTCTCTTTTTTTTGTTTTTTGAGACAGAGTCTTGCTCTGTTGCCCAGGCTGGAGTGCAGTGGTGCAATCTCAGCTCACCGCAGCCTCAGTCTCCCGGGTTCAAGTCATTCTCCTGCCTCAGCCTCCCAAGTAGCTGGGACTATAGGCATCCACCACTGTGCCCAGCTAATTTTTGTATTTTTAGTAGAGACGGGATTTTGCCACGTTGGCCAGGCTGGTCTTGAACTCCTAACTTCAGGTGATCCACCCTCCTTGGTCTCCCAAAGTGCTCGGATTACAGGCGTGAGCTACCATGCCCAGCCTGGGTCCTTCTCTCCTACTCTTTCTCACACGTACTTGGCACTCCAACCCTCCATTCCCTTTTCCCATTTTCTTTTTTCCCAAGTTGGGATACTGGAGCCCTGGTAGCTTCCAACCCCTATTGGCACTGCTCAGTTTTCTTTTCTCCTCTCGCTGCTCTTCCATGACTTGACCTGTCCACTAGAATTTAACTTAAAGGTTGCGATTTTAAAGGGATGATCTAATTATGGACGGATGTTTTGTTCAAGTGCTGCCTATGAGATTGGGCCATAGGCAAAAGCTTTTCTAGAATTTGGAGCCACCGAAATAAAGGAAATTTGGACTCAAGAATCTCGTGAATTTGGTTACTTTCCTCAAGAAACTATGTCTAGTAATTTTTTTGAAAACTCTATTCAGTAATGTTTTTAAAAGGAGCAGTAGTAAGGTTTTTGTATATGTGTAATTACCCAAGCAATACAAGTTCGTTGAAGAAAAATTACAGTGTCACAAAGAATACCTTGTAATCTAGTCATGTAGAATGTAATCATTGTTAATATTTTGATGTTGTCTTTCTGCTATGTTGTTCTAGCTACAGAAATATTTAAAATCATAAGTTGGGTTTTTATCACAACTTAAATCAGTTTGAAGAATATCTACTGAGCTTCACTGCTGCTTACCAAATTATCATTCTGTTGCGTTACTTTGATGGCAGGTATTTAGAGCCGCCAATACCTTGAAGTTTGATCTTAGGCCCCATTCTTCAGCTTTCACTTCTTAAAGATGTTTCCTCTTTAAGCAAACACCTTAAAGAGAAAATTTGTACTGAGATACTAACTCCTTTTAGGATCTGAAAAATGGTCACAACTGTGAAGATAAGCGTAGAATGGAAAAATTGGCAATCATTCACCCACACCTCCCTCCAGGAGTGGCATTCCAAAACGCCCAGCCCATATTTCTTTGCCTACAGGAATTTTGCTTTTTTACATCTGGCTATGATGCTTAAGAGCGCCCTCTATAGGCTGATGCCCTGCACTCTGGATTACGCGTGGCCCCATTCTGAAGGGAAGCGTTAAGACCAAGCAGGGTTGGATGAACCTGTGTGTTCTCTCTCCTGAGCATTCATCATTTCCAAGGTGATTATTGTAACCTCAATAACCATGTTGTTGTGGAATGGCTGGGGTCCCCAGGTTCCAGGTAGCTAGGTAACCAGGTAGCTCTGAGGTGGGAAATGAGGGAGGTAGTACAGGTTGATGAGTTGGGAGTCAAACGAGATTCAGACTCAAATTCTGGTTCTGCCTTGTGGTACCCATACAAGCTAACTTTGGTCTCCTCAATGGTGAAGTGGGACAGTAATATCTATCGGCTGTACAGACTGTCTTCATAGTAGATTCATAATATTTGCGTTGCACTTCAATGTGGTATGCTTTATCCTTTTCAAATTGATTATCTCATTTAACTTAATCCCTAAAGATTAAAGAGAAAATCATTGCAAGGCCAACATCCACTGTATTTTTATTCAGTTTTCAGAGCCGTGGCTCATGTTTGGCAATTTATGTGAAAGCATGTCCAGCTGGTGCCTCATTTTAAGCAAGCTCTGTGTGGGGTAACAGTCAAAAGCTTCAGCTCTGGAATTGCACAGTCTGGGCTTTGCCAACCAATTCACTTGTGACCTTAAGCAGGTTACCTAATGTCTCTGTGCCTCAGTTTACTCACTTATAAAATGGAGTCCAAACCTCATATGGCTGTATGTGGCTTAAGTGCTATGATAGGGAAAGCTTTTAGAATAGTGGTCAATACTCAATACATATTAATCCCTATTGTCTATTTACAAAAATGGGTTTATAGAATAGTGACCATTTTTCACATGTCTGGTTAACCTCAAATTCAAAATAGGACTTATTTACAGAACTTCAGTTTATAAATAACTTTTCAGAGGTTTAATATGGCAGACACAGCACTGAACAAGTTGTTAGGTGTCTGAGTTGTAGCCTTGCCCCTGCTGTGGTATAGCTGGAGGATCTTGGGCAAGTCATTTACCCTCTTTGAGCCTCATTCTTCATCTGAAACAAGGGGACTGATTACACATTCTCTAAGCATTATACTAGCCAGTCTTTACTTCAAAATGATGTATCTACCTATAAAAGTTCATGCTTGTTCTAGGATTCATGCATGCTTTCAGCTCCCTTAACATGCCTAAGCAGAAAGCTTTTGGTACAATGAGTTTTCTGTAACATAAAAAAAGGAACATGCCCAGAAGCTTGTTATTAGGGCAACCACATTTCCTTGCAAGTGACACATTTTTAAAATCCCTTTCCCCCAGAGGTTACACAGATTCAGAATTTTGGTTCATTTGCTTAAAAGTATATATAAATTCGTTTAGCTATATGGACACTAAAAGATCTGGGAAGAAAAAAAATGAGTCAATGAGTCATGCTCACAATGCATTTTTTAAACAGCCTTTCTGAGATCCTGTTTGTTTCAGCAATTGTTTTTTGTGGTTAAAGGAAATGTTAAGGTTCACAGAACTTCGGAGCATTGGTGTGTAACTGCTCGTGTTCTAAAACAGGGTTGCATATAGCGAGAGAGAAAGAGAAAGAGAGACAGAGAGAAAGAAAAGGCATTCACCTACACACGACAAATCCCAATGTCTGTTCTCTCTCTCTCTCTGTCTGTTTCTTTTCTCTCTCTCTCTCTCACATATATATATATACACACACACACACACACACACACACACACACAGCCTTAAGTTTGCTTTCCTAACAACATCGTCATGTCATTTAGAATATGGTTACTATCAAGTAGGCTTAATCTTTCCTGGAGAAATTATTCATTTGATTATCAAGGAATTGAAAAACCAGTTGTTAGCATTACAGACTCTTTGCCCATTGTTGTTTCAAACTTATCAAATTAAACAACTTTCATCTGTTTTGTCACTGTAATCTTGACAGCCAGTCTGGTCAGTGTTAGTGGAAATAACTGGATGGGTAATAATGGTAATGACTATAAGAATGCTGCTGCTGCTGATGATGATGATGACAATGATGATGACGATGACAATGATGATGACAATTGAAAAAAGGAAAAAGGAAGGGCCATGCACAGTGTAAGTTCCTATCCTGCTTTCAAGAACAGAACAGAATTCATCTGTGGAAACAAACGACTCACCAGGTGGTGGTCAGTGAGTATTTTAGAAGCCAAAATTACTCCTTAGCACAAGTTAAAGCTCCAATTGCTTCTTTCCTTAGAAATGCGACCCGTCCCTGCCTCCATTTTCAGCACTGCTGAAAAGATTAGAATAATAAAACACCCCAACTTCATAGTAAGTGTGCGAAGTATTTCTCAGGTTCTTGTATTTCCTGGATACTTGCATGCCTTTTAGGATTATGCTTGAAGATGACAAGAAATTACAAATCATTTGTCAGATTTTCAAATGTCCCCCAGAGCTGACACAGTGCAGCTGAGCATGAGAATACTTCTCCTGTCCTGGATAACTGTGTCTGAGAAAGTTGTTTCAACCTCCACAAAGGAGGGGAACTCTCCCAGATGGAGATGAACTGGCAAAAGGAAGTCCACTCAACCATTAGCTGCCCGTTGCCTTAAAGAGACTAACAGCTGCTTGGAAAAAAATTGCCACTCACTTATGAACCAAGCCTCCCTCCTTTCTCCCAGCCAAGTAAGTTAGCACTTTTTCCCTTTCAAAGGGAACTTCAGGTCAGAGGGAGCAAGAAGACTACAAAACACTTACCAAAAAAAAACAAAAACAAATTGTACTTAGGATAAATACCTATTTTTTTTTTGTCTTTCCATGTAGGCTGTTTACAAAACCAAGATAGTATTTTTCTTTTAATAGGTAAATAATTATGCAATCTGGTATAATCTGGAATATTTTGATATTGTTTCCTGAATTGTATTTGCCCCTTCCAAAATTAATAGAAAGAAGAAAGGGGAAAAAAGCAATTAAATAAATATTATGTACAAAACTAATAAATGCTGAAAGTTCAGACGGGTTAAGTCATACCCTCCGTGGAAAAAGTAAGAGAAATCAAATGTAAAAGTATATGAGCCTTGGCTAGAGAGGATTGGAGATTTTTGTGTGATTATGCCACATTTTATAACATGTAAATAAATACAAGCATTGCTATTTAACTATGCTGAATCTTTCTCAAAAAATATCTGGGTTTCTCGAGTGGATCCAATAATGGGATTGAAATGCCCTAGTTTCCTGGGTTGAAAAGAATTGGTCACTCTTTGCTTTCACGATTTTGCCAAGATTGCTTGGATCAATTTCCACCCCCAAATTCCTGGATAAATGCTTTAGTTGGAAGTCACTTTCCCTACTTTATTTGTCCCAGGGTCTGGAGCAGACAAAGACCTCCCCACAGTAATTCATGCTTGTGTGACCTCTGTCTTGGATTACTGCAAAACATTCTCTTCCCATAGATGTCTAGGAAGCTTTCTTTGGCTGGTGCCAAAGAGATGGTGTCATTGCAGGGGCATAAACTAAAATAGCACATTGCACTAAAGCTATGCAGGCTGTCTTAGCCACCAGTCCACCCCCCTGATTTATGGCCCCCAGTGACCTCAGAGTAACCTGTTTAGATCAGGCCAATGCCAAAAGGGGCCCAATATTACAAGTAAAACATTTTAGATGTTTATTTTAATATGTCCATGAGCAGCCAGCCAAGTCTTAACTTTTTAGGAATGGTGAGTGTAAGATATACTAGAGTATGTCTTCCATAGGGCTTGAGTTGAAAACTAAAAGTGCATGCATACTCATTGTAGCTATGACAGTTTTAAAAAAAGAAAAAGAAATGTGTAGTTGTTGTGACCAAAATATTAAAATAAATTTGGAGGGTTGCCCTCCCACCTCTCTTTTTGATAGAAGCCACTTCAGTTACACAAGCCAACATATTTATTAAAAAGATGTGATTTATCTAGTTAACTGTGCCTCCTGTATTTTTTCAAGAGACAGGGTCTCACCCAGCCTGAAGTGCAGTGGTGTGATTGTAGCTCACTGCAGCCTCAACTTCCTGGGCTCAAGGGATCCTCCTGCCTCAGCCTCCAAGTAGCTGGGACTACAGGTGTGCACCACCATATCCAGCTAATTTTTTTTATTTTTTTGTAAAGCCAGGCTGTGACTATGTTGCCCAGGTTGGTCTCAAACTCCTTGCCTTAAGTGATCCTCCCGCCTAGGCCTCTCAAAGTGCTGGGATTACAAGTGTGAGCCACCGTGCTTGGCCTGCCTTGTATATTTTATTGTGCTAAGCAAATGTCAGTTTATTCAACTTCTCATTTATTTTTGGATGGCAAAATTGTGTCTACTAATTACTTGCCAAAAGCTGTGATGTTTAACTAAAATGTTTAAAATGCAGTTGATTTTGGAAGATATTTTAAAGGAGAAAAGGTATTAGTTGAGACAAATTAAAGTGACTCTTTCAAGTACCAGAAGGACAGAGAAAAGTTGGAGAGGAAGAAAAGGACCTAGTAAATGGTCCTACAAGTGAAAATGGAAAGAAGAAAATGAAACTAGAAATGCAGGTGCTGATGAGACAGTAACCACTCTTATAATTCCTCATCATTCAGTATGGTCCAGGCTGTGTCAGGTGCTAGTTTCTGGGACCCTGAAATGTGGATGTGCTTGGCTGACTCTGAGGGTGATGATTCCATAGCATCTGCACACCCTAGATTGAAGAGGGAAGTGTCAAGAACCTGAACTGTTTGATTCTTGTTGATAAACAAATCAGGTCATGTAAGCTAAAAGCCCACTTTACTTTGTGCTGTGTAGCCAGAGCATATCTTATCCTTTAGAATATTCCTTCCTTCCCCAAAAAAAAAAAAAATTAAGAACAATTTACTTTATCCTTTTCAGATATTTTTAAGAGAAAGATTTTGACCTATGCTGTGATAGCAATCAAAAGCCAGATATAATGGGCAGTGTTTCTCCAGAAGGCAAATTAATAATAATTTATATCATCATTCTTTCACATGTTGGCTTTCTATAGCTTCAATTTTTTCATGTCTCAGCTTGCTTAAGAAATGCTTCAGGCAGGAGATACTTAAGGACACAGTGTTGAATACAAAGTAAATCTCCTGGAACTTAAAATATAAATGTGAG